CCAACATTCAACATTCAGTGCCATAGAGCATTGTAGGTCTCACCATCATCTTATAAAATTCTCCTTTCAATCTAAGCTGTACTTTTCTATCACACTATAGGCCTGAAGCATTCCTCCACTTCAACCAACTAACTTGAATTCTACTAATATCATCCCCATCCATATCACCATCACTTTGAATAAAAGACCCAAGATATTTAAAGCATTCACATCTTTTAATAATTTGATCACCCATAGTTACAACTGTCGCTAGACCTATTGCTACTAAAATTACATTCAATGTATTCAGTTTTAGTTTTACTCGAAGTCCTTTAGACTCCAATGTAGACATCCATAAGACTTGGGCATATTGTATAAAAAATGATCTTAATTTTTTTGAATTAAATGAAAATATGACACGATGGAGAAAAAAGGGTTCATGTAGCTGACTTCACTTAGTGGGATAAAGGCTTTGTGCTGTCGTTGTTGTATTAGTGTATGAGCTTAAAGCCGATTCCTGATGTAATCCAATAGAAATAGAAAAATATTTTGTTAATCCTCCTTCAGTTTGAACACATGTAACAGCTAACAACCCTAGTATATGTATCTTTAATGACTTGAAAGTCATATCAACACCTTTCTTCTCAAGAACTCCCAAAGGATATCTCATGGAACCTTATCATAAGCTTTTTCTAAATTAAGAAAAATCAAAGGAAGATTCTCCTTATTATCTCTAAACTTCTCCATCAAACCTCTCAATAAATGTATAACTTCCATAGTAGACCTGCCCGGCATAAATCTAAATTGATTATTAGAAATCTTTGTGATGCGTCTTAACCTATGTTCAATTACCCTCTCCCATAACTTTAAAGTATGACACATCAACTTAATTCCTTTATAATTTGCACACTCTTGTGCATCCCCTTTACTCTTAAAAATGAGTACCAAAATACTCTTACTCCACTCCTCAGGCATCTTTTTAGTTTTTAAAATAATATTAAAGATTTTAGTAAGCCAAAAAACTCCCAAATCCAAATCTCCCAAATAATATTTCCACAGTTCAATTGGGATATCATCAAGTCCAACAGACTTTCCACCCTTTGTTTTCTTTAAAGCCTCCTCAACTTCTTTTTGAGAGATTAATGAAAAATTTATAATTAAAAGAGGGAACAAAACTAACACAAAATTTGAATTTAATGTGTTTAGTAAGATGGTAGGACTCTTGCTTAATAATCCGAATAATATTACCGTTACTAATGGGGACACACTTTTAAGGGGATGAGTTAATGATTAGAGATATGATGAACACCAAATGTCATATGACCCATAGCATTAACCTCAATTATCAATGCATTATTGAAAATATGTATATACATGAATAATGTCTAAAGAATATAATGTAAGAGAGAAGAGAGAGAAAATATATAATGTAGATCAGAAGAGAAAAAAATAAGTGTACAATAATAAATAGTAATCTAAATTTTTTTGACATTTTTTCATGAAACGATCTCTTTATTTATAAAGGAATATAATATATAAAATTATATGTTTGTCTTTGCTTTAATGAGAGTGTCATGTATAAACCTTCGATTTCGCTGCACTATGCTCAATTAGTTGAAATCAACAAGTCCTAATTTAACAAGAGTGATTCGTTCGACTGTATTGAATCGAATATGACGGTTAGCTCTTAATGGCATGTGAGCTAGCAAGACTTAACTTCATGACTTCGCTTCGCCGATCAACTATTTTAATATAATTACTACCTTTAAACAAAAATTTCTTATTAGTAAGGCAGAGACTATCAGGCAAAGGGTAAATCAATTTGATAGTTAATTCACCCGTTAACGAGACAGATACTTTATGATTATACCTAGTCAATTCTCAATCTTCGAGAGGAGTCTTAAGGTTGTTCGTGAGAGGGCCGATGATGCCGCATTCTTCCATTGTGGTACTCAGCTTTATGGGCCTTGATCTTTGGATAACCTATATTCGATCAGCCTCGATTCAGTTTGGGAGGACTACACTTAGTCAGATAGGTCCTTGACATTCCAATCGATGCCCTCGGCTCAATGGGCCTTCATCTTTGGTTTGTATGACCTATAATTGGTGCAGCCTCGATGCAGGAGGACTGCACTTAATCAGGTTTCCTTTTGACATGTTGCTAATAGATCTTTAATTTTTCACTAGCGGACTGGACTTTGGTCTTCCATATATTGACCTTGATCTTTCGCCTGCGGATCTTCTCAGAGATTTGTACAGATGCATTTTCTTGGTTGTAACAACCTTACTACAAATTTTTGTAAGTTAGCCAATACCATCATTTCGAGAGCATATTAGAGGGATGTATCCTATCTTTTGTTTAGGGAGTTGTAGTTATAGACTGCCACTTGAAAAATTGATTTCATGTTCAGTCCAATAAATTCAATGCAATGATTTTTTGAGTGGCACGTTATGATTGTATTGATTGCAGTCAAAATGAAATCATTCTTCTCCTTAATCATAATGCGGCATTCACATACATACCCCAAAATTCTAATATGATTAAATATCTAGTTAATACCTTCACATTTATTTTCAAATGCAAAACACCCAAATCTTTAATATTACATAAAAAAATACCAATTCACCCTCTTCTTAATGAAAAATTGTCATGCATAGGAAAAACATACATAAGACGTACGTCAGGGGTTATTCAGAGGGTACAGGAGGTTATATCCAAGTTATACCCCCATGTAACCTCCGTGTAACTCTCTTGATAACCTCCGTGACGTACGTCAGGGGTTATTCAGAGGGTACAGGAGATTATATCCAAATTATACCCCCATGTAACCTCCGTGTAACTCTCTTGATAACCTCCGTGTAACTTATTTGTACTCATGAAATTAATTATACCCCCATGTAACCTCCGTGTAACTCTCTTGATAACCTCCGTGTAACTTAGTTGTACCCATAAAATTACAGAAGCAAGTAACTCATTTGTAAGTTACAAATAATTTACAAAGAAATTACAGGACCTGTACCCCCTGAATAATCCCTAGACGTAATGTCAAATATTTTTCCAGGGCTTATATATAAGAATTGGGCGGCAATATATCGGAAACTCAATTCAATTCATAAGTATAAGCCTCCAAGGAGCAAAATAAATGAATCAACCAAGCACAAATAGTTCAATCTCATTAAATAAATTTAATACGCCTCAAATGAAACGACTGTCATTATTTCCATTGAAACCATACCAGAACAATACTGTTTTATCATATCACATCCGCAGACATAATAAATATTATTACATAGACACCAAAACACAGAATAGAAATCAACTTCAAATTTGCAAGGTATTATTATTATTACCCCAATTTCCTCAGCCGGATATCTCAATGGCCTTCGCCTCCAGCTTCTTAATCTCCTTCTTCGGCACCGTGACGGTCAGAACTCCATTCTCCATCGCGGCTTTCACGCCGTCAGTCTTCGCATTTTCCGGCAGGCGGAAGCGGCGGAGGAAGCCTCCCCTACTGCGCGCGGAGGGTATCGTTCTTCTCCTCCACCTCTCTCTTCCTCTCCCCGCTGATTTTAAGCACGCTCCCGTCCTCCACCTCCACCTTGACCTCCTCCTTCTTCAGCCCAGGTAGATCGGCCTTGATCACGTGTGCCTCCGGGGTCTCCTTCCAGTCGAAGCGCGCGCCGGCGAACGCCGAGGTTTCGCCGGGGAGACTGAGTCGGGGAAAGGAGAGGGCGGAGCCGAAGGGAGAGCCCTGGAAGGGGTCCCAAAGTTCCAGAGAGAAGGGGTCGAAGGCGCTGCTCCTGCGGACGATGGACATTTTCTTTCTTCTTTGCTAGTAACCGATTCTTCTTTTTGGGGAGATGGAGGAGCGGGGCGCTGATTTATACGAAGCGGGAAAATCTCGCTCGAATCATCCAGAATACGCGTACGCGACAGTTCGAGCATCTTCTCCGTACTTTTGGCACGTTCGAGGGGTTTCTGGACCGAATAAATAATAATAATGATGAGAAATTTACGTACGTAAGTAATAATTTTCATTTTTATATTTATAACATCTTTGGAGGTGTTTATATATATATA